GATGACAATTACAGCACAGGCAGTTCCCAGGAGAACCTTCCTCCTACTGTCCTCTGAGCAGTGGCTGCTTCATGCCATACAGCAAGGAAGGACTGAGCCCATTACAGCTCTTAGATATTTTGACATTTCAAGCCAATGCTACAGCAAGTCTGAAAATTAACACCTAGCGAGTGTTGGAGGATATGAAAATAAACCTTTCACAAATAATTTTAAAAAAGGAAGTTTATGTTACTTAAACATAACTGCTGTGGAACATATTTATTTTTGTATGTGCTACTGGGGGGTTGGTCCACTCCTAGGAGCAATGTGCTCTGCTTTTTCAGGAAAGAAACAGCTGCAGACAGGGCTCAGTTTGGCTCTAGACTTCCACAGGCTGGGCACTGAAGCTATATCCCACCACATCATCCAGCCACACAACTCCTGCATTTTGTCTATGCCTTCCCACTCCTGCCACAGGCTACTGAGAACCATCCAATTGTCCAGCACAAGTATGCTCAAGTTTTTCATATTTTGCAATTCTAAAAGTCCTTTATTTTGCTTTTTTTTTTAATTATTATTTTTATTTTTTATTTTTTTTTATTAAAATATATAGACATTTTAGTGGGCAGTTTTTCATTTAAGGAAACAGAATTTCTGTAGTACTTCTTTTTTTTTTCACCCTTACCTATTCTTGTTGTGTCACAAAAATGATTAGCTACAGAAAAAAAGAAAAAAGAGAAGGAAAAAAAAGATAAACCCTCCAAAAAGAACCCAACCATTTTCATCTTCAGGTTTCTCTGAAAATGAATGCAAAGTTTCACAAAGCCAGTTTCTGCACAAAATAAAATACTTTAATCACAACTTTCTGCAAGAGAAAACTTACCAGTTCTCATCACAGATTCATAGAATCATTTAAGTTGGAAAATACCTCTAAGATCACCAAGTCCAACCTCTTACCATCCCTGTAGAGATGAGAAAGAAAGGCAGACAGGAAACAAGCTGCTTCCGCCTGTCAGAAGGCGAGGAGCAGGGCTAGGAAGTGTATGAACAACTGTCAAAACCCAACGTATCTCTGACAAGATAATACTATCCATACTCCTGATTTTAATAGTTAGCACTTTTTACTGATCCCAGCTCTTATTCAAAAGCTAAAGAAAAAAAAGCTTCAATAAATGCATATACACCCCTCTTACGTATCTGCTCCCTGAGAAATCTCTGCAGATGGAAAATAATTCTAACAGCTCTAAAACTAAGTCCTCAGCTTCACTTATTTCACAAATCAAAAGCACACGTCCTTCTGGAGGTTTCAGCCTAAGAGACGTAGAGCCCCTCTCAGTTTGCACAGAGCCGTCATTCCAGGGCTCAGCACGAAGCTGGAAGGCAGCTCTGCCTCCCTTCCCTGGCACATGAACAAACCCCATCGTCCTTTGGCAAAGCACCTTGTCCATGACATGGTTGAGTTTGCATTAGTGAGGAACATTTGTACCGTGTCAACTCAAATGACCAATGACAACCATGTAAGTGCCAAAAATCATGAGCCAGTTCAATGGTAATTTGAGAACCCAGCAAACCATTCACTGTCAGTGATAGCTCATTTTGATATCACAATGGGCAGTACTTTGGAGGCACCAAATTATATTCTGTGAAGGAAGTTTTCATGTGTTTTTATATGAGGGCATTCCCCTTCTGTATTGATGCAAACTCAAGCATCTCAGGAAGCTCTCACAATTATACCTTTAGTACAAGGGCAATTTTTCACAACAGAAGGTTATCTGGGAGACTGATTTTGCAGAAGGATGAGAGTAGCACAGCTTTTCCTAGCAATTCAGCTTACGGTCTGAAAAGAACTCACAGAAAATAACAACCTCCCAGATATGCTATCTCCTTCCTTTGGTCAATGCAGTCCCAATTTCTAGGCCTTCTTAAAGACAAATCTTTCAAAAAGTCCACATGTAATTTTCAGAAAATGGCAGTGTAAGTGTTGTCTCAGCATTTCAGAAAGGAAAAAAACGGTTGATTTACAATGCATACACAGTTCTTAATACCAAGCAACTAATTTTCTGCAAAAGAAAACATTAATAGAAAGTATTTTCCTTCTTCTCCCCTGCTGCAAACCCACTCCAGGACATTACTGTGGCAAATGAAGCCCAAAATGCTGCTGTTCCTAAGAGGGAACATTCTTTTTGTCTGCTCCTTGTTTTGTTTGTTTTTGTTTTTTAAGAAGTCTGCAAGATTACCAGTTGCTAAACAGATTTTTAACAGGTTCTTATAGGAAAATAGGCAGATTGTTACCGGATGAATCAATTGATTCTTAAAGGAAAATCAGCTGATTTTTATAGGGCATCCCAGGGAGTCAGAAGTGCTGGCAGCCACAGAAGCTGTTACTGATACAAGAGGGTGCAAGAAGATGATCCCCTGCTCCCATGAGTTTTGCACAGACCGTGACACTACACATGGTTCTGGATTCCACTGCTTTCCTTTAGACCAGATCTTCCACAAGAGCAGGAAAAAATTCAGCAAGAAAAAAAATATAAGGCAACTGTAAAAAATCAATTTTTAGAAAGAATGCAGCATGATGCAATTCTCCTTATATGGCAACTGGTATCCCATGTGGGTCCCACACAATAGCCAGTCTGGCAGGAGGTGGAGCGAGAGGACAACCTGGGGGGGAAAAATTATATATATATATATTCCCTGCTGGTCCTCACCCTCCATTTCCTCTTGGATTTCTTTGTGACTGCACTGAAAGGGGTCAATAGCTCCCAGCTTGAGAAATGCAGCTTTTGAAAGGAGTATCAACCAGCATCTGTATTTAAAGAATGCTTTTTACTTCACAGCCCCCCAGCTAATGTAGTGCTTTTAAAAAGCAAGCAGCCAGATAAACTTGCAAGCAACAGTAAAAGGGAAGAGTGAAGGAAAAACTGTAGCTTTTTGCCTTGGGTTTACACTTTCACAGGAACGAAGCTCGCCTGGCAAAGGTGGGGCAGTTAACATACGTTGCTATGGATCATTACACCCTGCTTCATTCACCACCTTCCCATCCTTTAAAGTATGTTACAAAACCACATGAAGCAACCAAGCAACCAAGCTTGAAAAGAATTTCAACCGATTAAAAATAATGGGCAAATTAGCACTGGACTCACAGAACACATCAAAGCTTTATAACTCAATCTTCAGTTTAAGAAATTTTGATCTGATAAATACTGTCGGATTTTAATAAGCTTAATTAACGTATCTCAATAATGAAATGCAGGACCAGTGGATATTCTTATACTGAGGCTTTCTATTTGAAGAAATAGTCCAGAAAAGCTATGGGACATTAGAGTCAGGGATTTATGGGAAGGGAGGAGGAACAGGATTGTAACTTCTCCCTTAATACCGCTGGATAAAGCCCATGTGGAATGCTGGCCTGGCTCTTCACAATCCCTGGCCCTGCTTCACATTGCAGTCTTAGTCAGACATCCACCAGCAACTACACTGCAATAGCTTCCAGTTTGATGGTGTGTTTTAATTCACTTTTAGAGTGGATGAATGCAAACATCAGTCTGTACAGATCAGCTGGTGCTGGAGCCTCCGTGTGTGAACAAGTCCAAACCCCATCTGAGCGTTTGAGAAGCTGAGTGATAGTTCTTGCTGCTAGAACACTTCCAAATTTAAGGAGCAAAATGGGTGAAACATCATGGAAGAAAGCTCAGCTTTGTGATGAGTGGAAACGCAGACTAAATAAAACCAGCTATAATTTTCATCTCCAATTTATTTGGCTTTATATTCAACTGGCTATTTGAATAGAGACTTTCCGTTAGCATCAGCCCACAGTTTTTATTCAAGTCCTAAAATTCACAGCTGAAAAAATGCACTGGTTCCTCAATCACCACTGACACATCAAAAAAAAAAAATTAATAATAATAATCATATAGACAGTTTGTTCAGTAGAGAAATCAAAGGCAAGGCCAGAGAATGCTCCAGAAATAGAGACTTAAATCGCCTAAGAGAGTCTCTAGCACAAGCAGTATATGACTCTGCATTTAATTTTAATTTCCAATCATACTGTTTTTTCTCACAGGCATTCAAATACATTAGTCCATGCCTTATCAGATCCTGAATTACGACTGTAGAAAAGCTCCTATGAGTCTGAGAATTCTAGTTCAAAGATGTTTATGGGGCTGTAATGAGTACTGACAGATAAGCCACACTCTTGCATGCACGCTTGCTACCGATGTCTGGTTTAACACAATACAGCCCTAAGCCTTCATAATACAGCATAGGAAACAGAATCCTCCCATCGCCTACTGCTAATTGCATCTGCAGTGGTCAGAGGTTGAAAGAGAAGTAAGCAGATTAATTCTATTAGACTGTGGAACAGTATCCCAAAGGGACAAGGGAAAATCCTATCATTTAAAACAGGACTGGTAGGCACCGCTGGGAACAATGTTTCATACTAGTAGGGGATTAAAGGTTTGGACTAAAGAGCCTCAACTTTTCTAGATCTGGTTTCCATGAGTCATCGCAATCAGAACTACAGGGCTCTTCTGTTTGGTTTTTCTTTTCACTTTTGGTTGACCTGAAACATCTTCCCTGGTCCAAAAGTAAACAATTCAATTCATTTCTTACTTAACCCCTTTCCCCCATATTTCTTTCTTCCCTTTCTTAAAAAGCTTTCTGTTTATATTAAGATAATGTTCAATATAAAGTTATTTTAGAACAAAAGGTCGAAGTTTTACTTTATTAATAGCTCATACATACGTAAGATCTTTCCTTTTTTTCAGTATACTCCTCCCACACTTTTAACCTGTATTTATCTTATCCATACAAGCAGTCTTGCTCCTCTTGAAGTACGTTTTTGATGAAAAGCATTTCCTGCTCTGTAAACACAATGTAAAGTTTCACCTCTACAGTTATGTCAGGCAGAGCTGACAGTGCCAAATGAATGGAAAAATCCTCTGCTCAGCCCACTGCAGCAAGCCCCAGCCAGGGCAGAACTCAGCAGCAGCAGAGTGAATAGCAGCAGTGCTGCCTCTTACCTGTGTGCTGCTCGGAGGGACAGACCTCCAGAGAAGTGCTTGGTCACCACAAGTCGGGCCGTGCTAAACACACATCAGTCTCCTTGCTTCAGGATCCCAGTGCAGTAATCCAGGCTGCTCAACCTGTTGGAAACATCAGTGACACACGTAAGACACACACCTGGATATTGTGCCCAAGGAGAATTGTGACTTTGTCTCAGTCAGTTCCTCCTATTCAGGTAAAGATCAACTCTTTTCTGCACATCTGAATGCGGTGAGGGGAACCATGAGGGGAACCATCTGGCAAAAACCCTGACAACTCTGGGAAGACAAATCTTACTTTTCATTCCACTTAGACGGGATAGACAAAGGCTCTGACCAGAGAATAAAAGGAGAATGAAAAAGAGGGCAAGGTGATAGAGCAGAGAGGCCAGGAATGTGGGGTAAAGATACCAATTGTAGCCAAGAGGAGAAGGGTTTGGTGGGAGATGCTCAGGTGGTGATAGCAGTAAGCAAGCAAGAGAAGGTAAATCAGAGCCCGGAGAAAGGAAAGGAAGGCCAATGGGATGGGAGGTTGGCTGACAGCTGCCCTTGTCAGCCTTCCCCTTACAGAAGTCAGCCAGACCTGGGGCAGAGGTGGAGCCAGCGCTTAACAGAGCAATTTCTCTGTAAGTGCTTCTCTCCAGAGAACAGCACTGAGCCTGCATCTCATTCTCCCTGACAGCTCCAATTCAGACGTTAAGCTGGCGCCATGCAAACCCATTTTGTAGCATTGCTCCTCTCCTCTCCATCCCTGCTTAACTTGCTGCTTTGCCCTCTTTCAAAACAAAAATTCTCTGCCACAGCCAGTCCTGCTAGCATCCCAAAGCCAATGGCAGCCTGTGCATTTGCCCCTTGGAGCACTGACTGCTCCATTGCATCACTGTGCTCAACAGCTCTCCCAGGGTGAAGGCGACAAGCTGGGGGCAAGATCCTTTCTGCAAGCACTCCCCACCAACCTTGCAAGACACTGAAGAAGGGCAGCAGCCAAAACTCCACAACACAGGTGCTCATTTTATATGTGGTCTGAGCAAGGGAATGTTGAACCAGTACTTGTGTGGTTGCTCTTGTCCTAGTGAGCTCACACTTCTTCAGCTGTGCTTCATCCTCCTGTCGCTGTTTGTTCACAAACCTGTTCCCTGCTCTGCACAAAGCAGCACTTCAGACACACATGCATAGACCACATCCTGGCTTCTTAAAAGGGGAAGTGAAAGTGTCAGAGATGCAAGTGCTTGCGCGTAGATAGCAGCACCAGGACAAAGTAGCTGCTGCCCAACAGAACCCTACCCTGCTGAACTTGGTCCTAGCTCTTTCAGACACATGTTACTGGGCTTTCACATCTCCCAGCTTTCAGAGATAGCCAGGGAAAAAAGAAAAGATTTATTTATTCAGGTTTGTAACACGCTCTGAAACCATTAGATACGAAGTGTCACAGGCAGATGCACAAGCTACTGAGAGATGTCAGAAATGTCATTCAAAGCCACTTTTAGTACCAATTTTCCCCTTCTATTATGGGGAGAACCGTGTTGCCCTTGTAGGCAAAACCCATTCTTTCCCTATTACTATTCCAGGTGATGTACTGCTGTGATCAGGAGCAGAGAGCTCTAATACATTTAAGACTGCTAACATTGCATTTTGTCTTGTGTGCATACATGCTCAGATGAGAGATTTCAATCATCACTCTTCAAGGAACATTAGGAAACAGGAGATACTGTGGGTAGCCTAAATCCTCTGCTCCAGTGGAGGATCGTGTCTTCCCTCTCAGCACGGCTATGTTCCTATCTAATCCAATTTAGAGCATCTCAGGCAGAGGGAATATTCTCCTTTCTCTCAGCAGACCTCAGAAAAATCTGGCAGAGCTGTCTTCAGGACTTGCTGCCTGCATAAAAAGTCTAATTTTTGTTAATTAGCGTGATTCCTTTGCATCTCCCTTCAGCAAAGCCAACAGCATATGTATGAAGTGGATGAGGACAATAAAAAGTAGGGACTTTCTACGGGGCTGATGGAGAGAGACAGAGAGAAAGGGACCGCAGCATCATGGGATCCAATGCTTCCTTTAACCCACATAGGTAAATTCTCAAAAGAGGAGTTAACCCCATAGATTACGGGTCATCTGGGCTCAATACATTTTTAATATGAAAACAAAAATAAACAGAAGCTTAACATGGCATTTCTCCTGATTAGCTGCCCTGCTCTTACATTCTCTCTAACCCCTGCTGGCTATTAGCAGAGATAAGAGCCTGACCCAGCCCAGCAGCCAGCAGCCATCCCTCCCATAGCACTGCACTAAGGTGCACCCCTGGGGCTTTGGGACCTGTCTCTTCAGGGTGTTGAGACATAAGGACTGGAATGAATTGGGTTTTGTTTGTTTTTTCCATCCGACCCTGACTCACAGCTTCTTCTCCCACTTCAGTGTTTGTTAACTTTAGGTCACTCTGATGGTGACATGTTTTGCAAATGACTTTTTTTTACATCCCAGTACACTTCTGTAATCATACACATCCTTGCAGAAAGCCACTTGATCGTGCATAAGGAACAAGAGTTTGCACTATCTCCTGACACAGAGATGGGAAGGAACACAGAAGCATTCATGTTTCACATTTTATAAATCACAAGTAACGCCAAAACAGATGTAAAACAAGACAGCTCCTGATCCTATTTTATACCCACCACAACACAAATCTTTGTGCATTAAATACAATTGAAAGGGAGCTGTGGAGCTGGCAATGACTTGACAGATGCTGAGACGAGCTGCAGCAAAAAGGAATATTACAGCCTGAAACAGGGTATGTTAAAAAGGCATCTGTTTATTGTTTGATATCTGTATTTATTTACAAAGACAGCTCGCCGACATGCTGACAGGTTGGGGAGGTGCAGTAGGCTGGCATTTTGAACTCCCAGAAGGCGCTGGGAGAACAGTTTGTCATCCTCAGGTCATGGCACAAGCTTGCACTTCAGTGCAGAGAGGTGGTAGGAGAGCAAAGTGGGTCTTTGGGCCTCACTGCCTTTGATATAGATATGAGAAGTCCCTCAAAAGCAAGTAGAGCACAGCCCCTTTTGCATTAAAACAAGAGCTTTCTTAGCAAGAAAGAAAATTAATTAAGTGGGTAAAATCCCACAGGTTGGAACAGCAGCCGAGGAATTATCTTTCTATTAGGTTGGTAATGAGGACTAAAAAAACCTCATGCAGACATTAACAGCTTTCTATGGGCTCATTGGCATTCCAGATCAGATGGAAGGCTTGGCGTTCCCACAGCAGCAGATGCAGCTCCAGCTCCAGAACTCAGCTTGCCCTACTGAACTGCACCAACATAGAAGAACAGCAGGCAGTGATACATTTGCAGTACCAGTGCAATGGGGGATGACTACCAGGAGGAATCCATGGAGCCCACTGACACTCACAGTAAGCTACTAACAGTTAAACTTCAGAAATGCATTGACTTCCCTGGTTACTAAGGTGGAGTTCTTTTAGAAAAATTAAAAAAAATAGGGGAGAGGGGGAGGCAAGAAAAGGAAATGACTGGCCCTCTTTCCAAAACTGTGCCTCCAGACACCTTCCTACCCTCAAGTTACTATTGGTGACACAAGTGTCCCAGGAGGCTCTGCCCAAAGAGCTTGCTGCCTAAAAAGACAAAAAGAAATATTAACATTGCCCACACTGCAGATGTAAAGCAAAAATCCAAAGAAGTGCTGGAGGAAACCAGTGGCAGAACTGTGAATGGAACATCTTCAGTCTTTAGAATGGAGATCACTGTTTCTTCCTTTCCCGTTCTCACATCTTTCTCTGAAAGTTTGTTGTTGTTGTTGTTATTGGTTTTATTACAGATTCTAAAGTTCAACTCTAAAAACAAGGTCCACAACCAACCGATTTGATTCTTTATTTCCAGGGAGTAACTGTATGGATTCTGAAACAAAAAAGGACAACAAATTCTCAACAGCACCCAAAAACTGCCCCAAAGAGGCAAATTTTACCCCCTTAAAATGAACAGCAAACACTGCTCTGTGCTGTTTCAAGTATAATACGCCTACTTGTGGGGTATTCAGCTGACCAACTCAGATGGAACCATGCTAGCTCATATACTTCTGAAGCAGGTGTTTTGTATATTACCTGCATGTCATTAATCAACGCAGATGATACCCCTACCAGATAATTATTTTGCAATTACACTGAAATGAAAGCTACTGCTTGCAAAGGTTTCACTAATTACCCACGCTTACCGAAGGCTATGGATAACAGAGTATTTTCCCACCATTTCTGCCTCTCATTAATCCAAATGCCCTCTGTGCCCTAAACTTAATGGAAAAAGAAACCAATGGCACTTCCTGAGCAATAGGATTGAATTACCCACTGGAAGGAAGCTGGTTGCCTAACAAAAGCATTTGCATTTCTATTCTTTTTACTTCTTTTAATAAGGTTTTGAAGCTTGTAGTACATAAACATTTAGCTTGTTTGTCAGGTTACAGAAATAAAGCTTTCTGTCAGTCTGAACTGTTATTTCAGGTTTGCCATCACCGCTGCATCGCCCTCACTTAACTAGAGGGCTGGCTGCTCTCTGGGATACTGCAGCACAGCGCTTGTACTGTCACACTCAGGTCTATAACTCCATTAGCTCTGGTAATCCAGCTGTTTTATATCAGTATTTTTCTAAGGCTCTCGACTGTCTCTCATACCTCTTTTCCCTCAGATCCACCTGAACAGACACACTGACACCTCTGAGCAGGACGTTCCCAGAATTATGAAAGCATCCAAGGGTGGAAAGAAAACAGGCGCTCGAGACGTCGTACCCTGTGTATGGCTGCTACAAGCAGTTCAAGGATGTGGCGGTAAAGATGTTCATTTGCAAAGGCCTGGATTTCTGCTCAGGGAATTATTGTCATTTGTTTGCTCCGAGAAAGAGACATCGGCCGCTGGTTCCCATAGGTTTCTATATCATATAGGTGCGTGTGATTCTGGTGCTTCAAAAGATTTCTAAGTGAAAAAATAATAACAATATAGAACAGAGCACTCTGTAGAGCAGTACAGCTCCTCAATTATCTTTTGGAATGCATCATCAGCTCTGCATAGCTGAGTTCTTTGCTTTATCTTCTCCAGATCCCCTTTCTTT